AAAAGTTTGTTCTTTGAGACTACCCTCAGTTAATCCCATTACGAAGAAGAGAACAGAAAATCAATCAAAATACCAAATGAGAAAGGTAAAAATCATAGAAAAGCCAGAAGAACTAAAAAGGACAATCAGAATGTTCTGCACAATTTTATGCTAAAGAAACTGAGAACACAAAAGAAATAACAAAAACAGGACATGCTCCAGCTATCAGAAGACCAGAGAGATGCTGAGTAACCTGATCTCAGAAAAGGAAATAGACTGGAATGCAAAAGAAGCAAAGGAGAAAAATCTCCAGGTCTTGAGATTCCTAGAAGAATTCAATCAGATTTGGAAAGAAAAGTTAGGACCCACATTTCACACATAATTGTCCCAAATAAGAAAATATCCCACTAAGACAAACACAGACCTAAGACCTAAACCAGGGATAGTCAAAACACAAAAAGAAAACTCCAAGCCAACCTCACCAATGAACACCACCCCCAATTTGTAAACCAGATCCTATCAAAACAACCATATGTGAAATCTGTGGAGACTTTCCAGGGCCAAGATAGTAGAGCAAGGAAGGAACCCTCTGAAGCCCTCCAAATCCTCCTCCAAACAACTAGAAAAGTGCCTCAGACTTGGTATAGGTGCAGGGAAGCAGCTTACCAGCCCAGCAAGGGGGCAAGGTGCAGGAGCAGCAGCAGCAGCCAGCCTCACAGCAGGGGGCCTGCAGCAAGGCGCTCCCAGGGTAAATTAAGAGTCAGTGCACCCCAGTGACAATGCCTTGACCCCATTGCTAACCAGGAGCAAAGCCTGGTCCAGTGGCTGGCCGACATCAAGACCCCAACCCTGGGACCTACCAGTCAAGAGACCCTGTTTCCACAGCAACCCAGTAGCTGGGCCCCACCCCTCCTGGCAGATCAGCAACAAAATTATTCTTTCAGGCCAGGTTAGAAGAGAGGCCCTGTTTCCATAGCAGCAACCCAGCAGCAAGGCCCCACCCCTCGGGCAGATCAGCAGCAAGATCCCTCTTCCAGGGCATGATAGCAGAGTCACTGTTTCCATAGCAATCCAGCAGCAGGGTCCCACCTCTGGGGCAGACAGGTACAACAAGATTCTTCCTCCAGGGCCAGCCACCAGAAAGGCTGTTACCATAGCAACCGAACAGCAAGGCCCTATCCCTGGGGCAGCTAAACTCCACACTCATGGAAAGCCAACAGGGAGGTTCCCACCTCCCAGTACAGTGAAAACAGGTTGCTAAGCCCTGTGAAAGTCAACAGTAAGGCCCAAAGACCCAGCACAAAAAGCATGGGACAGTACAGGACCAGAGCCCAACTCTCACATAAAAATACCAAGTCACAAAAAAGAGAGAAAAAAATGAGCAAAAACAAACAAACAAACAAACAAACAAAAGAATGGACTACATAAAGTTACTATGGTGATGGAGGATCAGGACATAAACTTAGAAGAAGATAATAATGTAAAAATGGCTACATGTGAAGCCTCAAAGAAAAATGTACGTTAGTTTCAGGCCTAAAAGGAATTCCAGGAAGAGCTTAAAAAGGACTTTAAAAGACAAATTAGAGAAGTAGAAGAAAAATTGGCAAAAGAGATGAGAGTAGTGTAAGAGAATCATGGAGGAAAAGTCAATAGTATGGGAAAAGATACAAAAATTTACAGAAGAAGCTAACTCCCTAAAAAATAGAATTGGCCAAATAGAAAAGTACAAAAGGTCACTGAAGAAAATAATTCCTTAATAATAAAAATTGAGCAAGTGGAAGCTAATGACTCTATGAGGCATCAAGATACAATAAAACAAAATCAAAAAAGAAAAAAAAAGAAGTAAATGTGAAATTTCTCATTGGCAAAACACTTGTTATAGGAAACAGATCTAGGAGAAATGATATAAAAACTACTGGACTACCTGAAAGTCATGATCAAAAGAAAGGAAAAAAAAAAGTCTGGACAACATCTTTCAAGAAATTATCAAAGAAAACTGCATTGATATATTAGAACCAGAGAGCAAAATAGAAATTGAAAGAATCCACTGATCACCTCCTGAAAGACATCCCCAAATGAAAACTCCCAGGAACATCATAGCCAAATTCCAGAGCTCACAGATCAAGGAGAAAGTATTATAAGCAGCTAAAAAGAAAATTCAAATATCCTAGAACTACAGTCAAGATTACACAGATTTGGCAGCTTCCATGTTAAAGAACTGGAACGCCTGGAATGTGATAAACCAGAAGAAAAAGGAGTTAGGATTACAACCAAGAAGCACCAATCCAGCAAAACTGAATTTAATCTTTCAGGGGATATTTAACAAAATAGAGGACTTTCAAGCCTTCCTAACTAAAAGATTAGAGCTGAACAAAAAATTTGACTTCCAAATACAAGACTCAAGGTAAACATAAAAAGGTAAAAAGAAAACAAGAAAGAGAAACATAAGAAATTCAATAAGGTTAAACTGTTTATATTTTTTGTATAGTATGATAATATTTGTAACTCTTAAGAACCCTACTAGTGTAAGAGCAATTAGAAGGAGTACATGTAGAGAAATGGTGTGGATATAGGTGCCTCTGCTGGGATGATATCTCAAAAAACAAAATAGAGGGGTAACAAAGAAAACTGCACTGGAAGAAAAAGGGAGAGATTGAATGGGGTAAATTATCCCACCGAAAAGAGGCATGAAAGAGCTATTATAATGGAAGGGAAGATGGGAGGATGGCAAGCAAAGCTTAAACTTTGGCTTCAACATTGGCTCAAAGAGAGAATAACACACTCAGTTGGACACAGAAATCTATTTTACCCTATAAGGAAGTAAAAAGGGTTGGGGATAACAGAATGGGGAGGGTAGATTGGGGAAGGTGGTGATAGAGAAGGAAAACATTTGTAAGGAGGGAAAGGGTTGGGGGGCTAAGAAGGAAGGGATAAACAAGTGAAAAACTGCATGGAGGGAAACACACAGTTAGTTAGCATAACTATAAATGTGAATGGGATGAACTCACCCATAAAATGGAAGCAGATACAGTGGATTAAAAACCAGAATCCTACAATGTGTTGTTTACAAGAAATACATTTGAGCAGAGAGATACACACAAGGTAAAGGTAAGGGGCTGGAGCAGGATCTATTATGCTTCAGCTGTATCAAAGAAAGCAGGGGTAGCAATCGTGATATCAAACAAAGCCAAAGCAAAAATAGATATAAAAGATATAAGGAAGGAAACTGTATCTTGCTGAAAGATACCATAGACAATGAAGTCATATCAATACTAAACATACATGCACCGAATGATATAGCATCTAAATTTCTGAAGGAGAATTTGAATGAGTTACACAAGGAAATAGATAATAAAACTATACTGGGGGGACCTCAACTTTCCCCTCTCAGAACTAGATAAATCTAACCAAAAAATAAACAAGAAAGGAGTTAAGGAGGTGAATACAATTCTGGAAAAGTTAGATATGATAGATTTCTGGAGAAAACTGAATGGGAATAGAAGGGAATATACCTTTTTCTCAGCAGTACATGGTACATACACAAAAACTGACTGTGTTTTAGGACATAAAAACCTCACAATCAAATGCAGAAAAGCCAAAATAGTAAACACATCCTTTTTAGATCATCATGCAAGAAAAATTACATTCAATAATGGACAATGGAAAAAGAGATTAAAAATTAATTGGAAACTAAATAACCCCAAAAAACAAGTGGGTCAAAGAACAAATCATAGAAAGAATCCATAATTTCATTGAAGAAAATGACAACATTATGACATTTGTGGAACAGAATGTGTGTTGCCCTTTGAGTGAATACAAAAGTGGCAGTGAATCTGCCTGGCTGCATCCCGAGCTGCCTTATTCAGCCTGTCACCAGCAAGGACCCTGACAATTCTTATAACAGGATCAAATGAGTCACAATGTCTAAGGTGCATAAGGTAGCAAATAATAGGCACATATAACCAGGCTCAACCCCCTTTCCAGCCTTCCTACATCTCACTCCCCCTCCTCCTCTGACCCAGGGACGCTGGCCTCTTGACTGACCCTTGACCAGTACCCCTATCTCCTGACTCTGTAGGTTTTCCAAGGGCTGTCTCCCATGTTTGGAAAGTTGTACTTCCTCATCCTGGCCTCTGGACTTCCTTCAAGTCTCAGCTAATATCTCACCTTCTGAAAAAGCGATTTTTTCCTTGTCTCTGTAACTGTTAGAGCCTTCCCTCTGAGATCACATCCCACCTACCCTGTACAGAGCTTGTTTGGACTCAGCTGCTGACATGTAGCCTTCCCCATTAGACTAGGATCCCCCTGAGGGCAGGAACCGGTTTTTCCTTCCTTTGTATCCAGGGAAGTTTTGAACAGTGCCTGGCACAGAGTAGGGCCTTTCTAAATGCTTATTGACTGAACTTAATTGGTAAAGGAGAGGGATTTGGAGGGACCTGGGAAGGCCTGTGTGAGCTGAGGCAGGAGGACATGAGCAGCACCAGGAGTACAATGCCTGCTCTGATGACAGCACAGCAAAGAGCAGACGCTGGGGAGCCTTCAGGCCTCTCTGCTCCAGGCCTGTCCAGACAAGACTTGGGGTGAAAGGTTTCCTGGACTTTGAGTGGCTATAAGAGAGAGCTTGGCCACAAGAAACTGGGAGGAGGGGGAGAGGCTGTGTGCAGGGGGAGGGGTGCTAGGCAGGCACAAGGAGAGCAAAGACATGGTCCCTATGGAAAAGAGAGTAAGGAGTGAAGTGGTCATCCTTGTGAGTCAGGTGTGATGAGGGGAACTTAAAAACAAACAAGGGAGGGCAGCAACTGGGGGGAGGGGGTTAGTGCTCCAGATCCCAGGATGCCAATGAATCAGTTTGAAACAGAGAAGTAGAGAGCAGGGCAGGCTGGTTACTGCTGTATTGACTTCACACCCATGTTTTATAAAGGAACGATCCACAAGGAAGGCGTTGCCAGCTTGATGGACAATCCTATGGAAATGGCCTGAACTGCTAATGCTGGTCAAGTATGTGGATGGTCTGCACTCACCTGGGGTGAGGGGCTGTGGCTCCCAGGGGCCATTCCCTCTGGCTCCAGGTTCCCTGCTTCGGGCCAGTCCTTGGTCCTCTGCAGACTGAGCTGGGGAGGGAGAAGGGTCCTGGAGGGGGAGAGGTCTTTGCCTTCTCTTCCTAGGCAGGAGGCTGACCCACAGGGATTACAAAGGCCCTGGCCTTTCACAGGAAAGACTCTAACCTACAGAGGGAAGGAAGGAGCATAGGGATCAGGCTTGGAAATGAAGATGGTCTGAAGAGGAAGCCTACTTCCCTCCCTCTCTTTTGCCCCCTCCCCATCCTCCTCCACATAGGGCTTTGGGATGTGCCAGGAGGCACATGGGGCTTTGGGATCCCAGGTGGGATGAGACCAGTCAGAGCCCAATGACCCCTGAGTCAGAGCTCTCCCTCCAACTGGTCCTCTGCCTAACTAACATACACATATTATCTAGACAACGGACTGACTGCTTGATCTAGGAGGGAGGGAAGCCAGGGAAGACTGAGGATGGGATGAGGGGTGGGAGGGCTCTGGAATAGAGCCTCCAAGGAATGACCAGGGGAAGCCAGAGACTGGGAGACAAAACCTAGTCTGGGATTCAGCCCTGAGGGCTCCAAAAGAAGTGGCGGCAGAGAATCAGGAGAAGCTCCTCTAGTAAGAGGAACCGAGATACGGTCTGGGAGGTGAGACATTCTAATACAGCTCATGGCAGGGAGGTCGGGGCACCAGTGACAGAAATGTTGCAGCTGGACAGCTGAGCCTGGGAAAGCAGGAAGACTGTGTGCTGAGGTCTAACTAGGAGCCAGGGAGGACTCCTGGGGACCTCCTTGGAATCCCTATAGGAAAAGTGGAGGCAAGGAGCCACACGCCAGGGATCTGATAGGGAAACAACCCAAGAGCTGCAGGTCCAGCTAAGGCGGGGGGTGGGGCAGGCAGGCAAGACCTTTGGTTCTTGCATCAAAGGTGGGGTCCTTGGGACAGGAAGGCAGGACTCATGGATCATAAGGGAGGGGCAGGGAGATCGGACACATGGGTCCTGATAGGAAGGCTGAAAGCAGGACTTCTGGATCCCTATGGGTAAAGTCTGAAGTTTGTGACCCAATGGGAAACCTGGGGAGTGCGACCCTGGACGTCTGGGAAGTGACTAGAAGTCTGGAAAAGAGACAGGGGGCAGGGAGCTCTTCCAGTGGTCAGGGAGGGAGGGAGGCATGCTCCGGGCAGACCTACAGGACACTCCCATGAGGTCAGATGAGGAGGATGAGACCTAAAGACACAGGGGGTGTACGGGGGAGGGGGAAAAGGGGGGAAGGGGCGCTGGTTCAGACCTACCTAGGACTTGCAGCCACAGAACGATCTCAGCTCCAGGCAAGGAAGAGTGATCTAAGCTACAAGGGAAGAAGGCAAAGAGATCTCAGCTCCCAGAGTTCCTGCTCTGAGCCTGCCCACTCTGGGAGGATCCTCCCAGTCTCCAGAGCCCCACCATGCCCAGCCCCTGAGGCCCCTAGGATGGGCCTTTTCCTCCAATCACTCTCTGGGCCAGGAGCTCAGGACCCTGCCTACCTCTCCTCCCCAAGCCCTGCCCTCCTTCACGTGGAGTGCCTTGGCCCCTGGAATAACGCCCTCTTCCGCCCTAGACTCCTCCCAGGCTTCCAAACTCCACCCCAGGGCTCGAATGCCATCCACCTGGCCCACCCCCCCGCCAGGCTGGTCATCTCTGAGGGCTGCTCCTCCCCCAGCTCCAGTACTCAGACCCTCCCCCTTCCGAGCAGACCGATCGCCAAGATAAAATGTGGGCACCAGACTAACTGAAAGTAGCGGGGCCTGTACTCTGAGGTGCTGGCAGCAAATGGCCCTGGTGAAAACTGGGACTCTACGTGCTGTTTGCAACCGTGAATGCAGATGGACTGGACTGAGTTTCTCCTAATCTGAATTAGAATGTGGTCTCACTGAAAGTCAGCTGTGTTCACCACTGGGATTTTTGATCCTTAGATCAGACCTTCTTGCAAAATAGACTTCAGATTGGGCATTTAGGTGATCGGTTTAGCAACTGTAAGAATAAGAATTAAATGTAATTGAATCAGAATTAGTGTTCTACTCTGAATGCAATCTAGTGTCAAATGGATAGATGAATGAAGCGATTTTTCTGTGTAAGCTAACTCGGAAATGCATTCAACTGAATTGATGTCATTTGGAAATTTCGTTTCATGTTTTAAATCTGCAACATTTTTTATGTCACTGTTATGCTTTTACTGTTTCTCACATTGGAATTTTTGGGAAACCATTCTCCAGAAGAGAAATTGTGTTCATCTGATGGATTGTCTGACCATTGATTATGAAAATTATAAAATCACACCTGGAATAATATATATTGAAGTGATAGCTTTGAGGTACCTGAGTCTCAACAGATGCCAGCTTTGATTCAGAATGGGACTCCTTCCTTGATTAGAGTTGATATTGTCACATCTTAGAATGCAGAAACTAAGAAAATGCCTCAAATTCTCTTGAACTGAGGCCTCAATCAAGTTAATTCAAGAAGCATTTATTAAGCAATTAATAAGCATTTATTAAGCACCTACTATGTGCCACGCTGTAGGCTAAATGCTGAGGATAATAAGATTAAACAGTCCCACCCCTCAAGGAAGGACTACTTGGAACTGTGGATAGAGCAATGGGCTTAGAATCAGGAAGACTCATTACTATGAGTTGAAATGTGGCCTCAGACACTTAGTAGCTGTGCGACCCTAGGCAAGTCACTTACCCCAGTTTGCCTCAGTTTCTTCATTGGTAAAATGAGCCAGAGAAGAAAATGGCTAAAATCATTCCAGTGTCCTTGCCAAGAAACCCTAAATGGGGTTAAGGAGAGTCAGGCACAACTGAAAAATTTCTAAAGAGCCCCTCAAGGAGCCCACATTCTAATGGGTCAAGTCAACAAGAACTTATGAAGCATCGTGTACTCCAGGAAACATGTAGGTGTGATCTGGAAATACCAAGAATGGAGAAAGGAAACAAGAGACAACTTGCAAACCACTAAATACACAAACACATGCTCATTTACGGCCTATTTAATTTCTTTTTCTAAAATTGGTCTATTTAGATATTCTATTTCCTCTTCTGATAATCTAGGCAATTTATATTTTTCTAAATATTCTTCCATTTCACTTAAATTATTAAATTTAGTGGCATATAATTGGGTAAAATAATTGTTAATGGTATAGTCACCCTTTTCATTTCTGATACTAGTGATTTGGTTTTGTTCTCTCTTTTTAAAAAAATCAAATTAAGCAATGTTTATCTATTTTATTTGTTTTATCATAAAACCAACTCCTAGTTTTATTTGTTAATTCAGTGGTTTTTTACTTTCAGTTTTATTAATCTCACTTTAATTTTTAGGATTTCCGATTTAGTGTTTCATTGGGGATTTTTAATTTGTTCTTTTTTTAGTTTTTTTACTTGCATACCCAATTCAGTAGTATGGTCTTTCTCTATTTTATTGATATAAGCATTTAGATATATAAATGTTCCTCTAATCACCATTTTTTGCTGTATCATATAGGTTTTGACACATTGTCCCATTATTGACATTCTCTGTAATGAAATTATTGTTTCTATGGTTTGTTCTTTAACCCACTCATTCTTTAAGACTAGGTTGTTTAATCCCCAGTTAGCTTTTAATCTATGTTTCATTGGACTCCTACTGAATATAATTTTATTGCATTATGATCTGAAAAGGATACTTTTAAGATTTCTGTTTTTCTACTTTTAGTTATATTTTTATGTACTAATCTATAATCAATCTTTGTAAAGGTACCATAAACTGCTGAGAAAAAGGTGTATTCCTTTCTATTTCCATCCAGTTCTTTCCAGATATTTATCATATCAGGTTTGTCTAAAATTCTATTCACTTCCTTAACTTCTTATTTATTTTTGAGTTAGATTTATCTAGTTCTGAGAAGGGAAGATATAATAGTAGGGGAAGTCCCCTACTATTATAGTACTACTATCTATCTCTACCTGTAATTCATTTAACTTTTCTTTTAAAAATTTAGATGCTATAATACTTGGGGCATATCAGTATTGATATAGCTTCATTGTCTCTGATACCTTTTACCAAAATGTATTTACCCTGTTTATCTCTTTTAATCAAATCTATTTTAGCCATAACTTTATCTGAGATCACAACTGCTGCTGCTGCCTTTTTTGTATCAGCTGACACATAATAAATTCTACTCCAACCCTCTATTTTAACTCTGTGTGTATCTCATTCTTGAATGTGTTAAATGTGTTTCTTTTCAACAACATATTGTTGGATTCGGATTTTTAATCCATTCTGCTGTCTGTTTTCATTTTAGGGGTGAGTTCATCCCATTCACATTCAAAGTTATAATTACTATTTGTGAAGTTCCTTCCATCTTATTTTTAACTCACTATTTTTTCTTTTCAGCCTCTCTTTTTACCCTATCCCAGTCACCTTATTTATTTATTTATTTATTTATTTATTTTTTGCCTTTTGGTGAGGCAATTGGGGTTAAGTGATTTGCCCAGGGTCACACAGCTAGTAAATGTCAAGTGCCTGAAGTCAGATTTGAACTCAGGTCCTCCTGACTCCGAGGCCAGAGCTCTATCTACTGCCTAGCCGCTCTTACCTTATCTTTTCCCCTTACTCTCTTATTCCTTATTTTACCCATACCTCTAAAATTCCCTCCCTTATCTTCTTCCCCTACCCTCTTAATCTTATTCTACATACTCTTTTTACAATCCCTCCCTCAACTTATCCCTGAGTTTTCTCACCTCTCTAGAAAGTTCAGAGGATTTGAGAACTTCTTCAGAAGTATACGTTGTTTCTTCTTCAACCCCGATGAGAGTAAGGTTCCAACATTACGAGACCTCCACCCCTACCTGTTTCCTCTGTATTAGTTCTTACTTTTACACCTTGTTTTTTTAATAAGATAATTGCTACTTTTTACCTTTTTTCCACCCAATTCTTTTTAGAATCATCCCGTCATACACAACTCATCCTCAACCTTTCTTTCAAACTACCTTAGAAATGATAACAATCTTAAGAATACGAATATTTTCATATATCGTAAGTAAACAGTTTAACCTTTATCAGTGCCTTATAATTGGTCTTTAATGATTTCCTTATATTTATTCTGGATCTTTTATATTGAATTTTCCATTGAGTTCTAGTCTTTTTGTTACAAATATCTGAAAGTCTTTCAGTTCATCAAATATCTATTTTTTTTTCATTCTGGATTATACTCAATTGATTTATTCATGGATGAAACCCCAGCTCCTTTGCTCTTCAAAAAATAATGTTCCAAGACCTATGGTCTTTTTGTGTAGACACTGCTAGGTCTTGTGAAACCTGACTGTTTTTCTGCAGTATTAAAAATTTTTTTCCTGGTTGCTTGCAATATTTTCTTTTTAGCCTAGGAATTTTGAAACTTGGTTATGATATTCCTATAAGTTTTCTTCCTAGGATCTCTTTCAAACAGTGATCAGTGGATTCTTTCTATTTCTACTTTACTCTCTTGTTCTAGATATTCAGGGCATTTTCCTTAATAATTTCTTATAATATTGCATCCAGATTTTTTTTTATCATAACTTTCAGGTACTCTGAAAGTTCTTATATTCTCTCTTTGATCTATTCTCCAGATCACTTGTTTTTCTAATGTTTCAGATTCTCTTCTATTTTTTCTAATTTTATTATATCTTGGTGTCTCATAACGTCATTCGATTTCACGTGTTTAATTCTATTTTTCAAGTAGTTTTCTTCCTTAAGATTTTGCATCTCTGGGGTCAGCTAGGTGGCGCAGTGGATAGAGCACAGGCCCTGAAGTCAGGTAGTACCTGAGTTCAAATCTGACCTCAGACCAAAAACTTGACACTTACTAGCTGTGTGAACCTGGGCAAGTCACTTAATCCCAATTGCCTAAAAATTAAAAAAAAAAAAAGATTTTCTATCTCCTTTTCTAATTGGTTAACTTTTTTTTATTATTTTCTTGGATTGCTTTTATTTTTTCTTCTAATTTTTCTTTGTTCTCTCTTTTTTTCTTCTAATTTTTCCTCTTTCTCTCTTGTTTGATTTTTGAATTCTTTTTTAAGTTCTTCCAAAGTTTCTTTCTGGGTTTATGACCATTTGATGTTATTCTTTAGGCTAAGAGTGCCTTTTTTTTTTAACCTCACTATCTTCCCTTGAATATGAATTCAGACCTTCTTTTACACCAACATAACTATCAACGGTGAGGTTCTTTTTCTTTTGCTCATTCATCTTTGTTTTTAATTTGTCTTATTTCATTTTAGCAGCCTAATATTATTATTACAAGCTGTAAATAATGGTACCCTAGGCCTTGAGTCCTTCTCACTGTTGTTTTCTGAATTCTCTCCAGGGGCACAACCTCAGGGACTCCTCTC